TGGCAACCGTAATCCACAACACTTTGGGGGTCAAAGTGGACTGTTTCCTTGGTGTTTTATTTCAAATGGTAACCAGGATATGTCAATAATATGTCTAGTAATGTTTGCATTTTAAAACTTCCATTTTGGAAACATGCTGATTAGATGAATTTTAGTGAATACTGGGAAGTGATCCCTGCCTGAAGCATCGTCTTGGAACACGTCCCAGTTACATTTAATGTTAATGAGGAGGATATCATCGAAATGTGTTTAAGTGAGAACACACCCATAGGCATTAATATCATATAATCGTTCATATGAGACTTTCCAGTGTTGTAGGCATTGATCACTATGACTGAATAAGTTTCGTCAAAGTAAACCTTACAAGAGATGTACAGTAGAGCTTTATAGAAGAACCCACGAGATATGAGTGATTAATGTTTTAATCTCCGAGCTTTTCCGTAATCACTCGTAATGAGTGGGTTATTCTATTTATTACCCATAATATAATTAAAGACGTGTCAAGGGAAAACTACCTGTCGCAGATCAGGAATTAGCTGTTGCGTATCAATCGGCGTGTGAAAAAACGCCGTCCACTCACTCCAATCGCATTTCTCACTAAAAGTGTTGTTACGTGTGAAAAATATAGTTCTGTGAAAAAAACCTGTAAAGATCACATATTAGCAGTTAAGTTTCTGTTTGATTTACACAGCATACACTATCAAGCATTGATAAAGAAGACAAATTTCCAAAAAGTTTCATCAGGTTTTTTAATCAAGTCTTGTTTAGACACGATCTCGTCACTGACAGACAGCGGCCGCCGTGCATCGGCAGAGACATGCATTTCACACATTGTGAAGAGAAAACACGGAAAATCTGTCAATTTATTTTATGTGTCTTTTGAAAAAAATGCCAAAACCTATAACAACAACATAGACATAATTTACAGAAGTCTTGTTTGTTTGAGAAGAGTTACCAAAAGTAGGTAAACTATGAACAAGTATGATTGCCGCCACAGTGTCGGGATGAATGGATCTTTGTATTGTCTTTCGGAAAGTCTAAAAGTTGTTGCAAAATGAGTTGAAAGTGTAAAAAGTCTTATTTTTCGTTCAACTTAGTTCATGTCAACTTGTCATGTTTAGCCTATTCCTTGTGTTTTAATTTTTATTGGCAGTTATCGATGTCATCATCATTAACAAAGGCAAACCTGTCTGTACTAAGTCTGGTTTTCGGATTCGTGTGGTCGAAAAATTCATCAAACAGCAAGTCCTCTAATGTAAACGCAAACCAGGTCTTGGTGGTGAATCTTGGCGCACTAGAAACAGTTTCTGGCAACACTCGCAATCTGAATTTTGGATCTTCAATCTGGCCATATGCAGTTTTGACAACAAAGACATTAAATGTGTTCAGAGGTTGAATCATACGAATAACTCTTCATGTCAGTAAGATCTCCATCCGCTTAAACGAGGTCATTTATTTGACAGGTGTCAAATCATGTTTGTTTACAAACGCAGACGTAGATCTAGTTTTGGTTTTTAATGTAAAACGAAATTCGTGTGAAATAAATGACAAAAATATGATGTGAAACCATGTTGTTGATATGAAACTATGTTTCACTCAGTGAGATTGTAGCTGAATGAATGAATGAATGAATTGGATGAGAAAAAATAGTTCCGTTGTCCAATGAAAATTGATCTTTGTTAAACTGACCAATGAGCGTCGAGAATCACTAATTGCACACTGTTCAAATATCAAAAAGTTATAACACTGCATATTTGAGCCCATATGGGTAATAAATGGGATTAGGTCATTTATAAAGCATATAATAAAGTATCGTGAAGGAAACAATATTTCAAAGTCAGCATTAGAAGCCACACACACAGTGTTCGGTAGATTAATAGGTTCGACAAGGCATCATCAGACAATGGCACCGATGACAACGCAGAATTTTAGCTCGGTAACCTTACCCATATTCGTCCATATCACTATGAGTGAGTGAGTGAGTGAGTAAGTTGGGTTTAACGCCGCTTTTAACAGTATTCAAGTTATATCGCGGCGTATCAGCTTAATGTGGGAGGAAAGCCCGAAGTGATGCAGGTCTAAGACGTTTACCACTTCGGTGAACATATCACTATGAACCTGTGGTTAGTCAAAACAGTCTCTGACAGCAGCAAGTAGAGCGCGGAAGATCTATCGAGTGAAGAGGATCAATGAGATGTTCACACGGAAAGACAGGGAACACAAACTGGTATTAAACGTGGCTGGCATTTAGCTCACTTATGCCTTCTCCTAGGACGTCTTGAGATTTATTGGAGAGAGACATAAACGGAATGAAACTGATATAGATAATTTATTTTACAACAAATAAATGAAATAAATCTGACAATATTACACTAAATAAATACCTACCACTTTCACTATTTTTCTTTCTTGAAACAGCTTTTTTCACACAATAACACAGAGCGTAACTGAAAAAAAAACTTACTCCCTCCCTATCGAGTGTTACCTGAAATCAGATCAACAATGTTGGGGCCACAACTGGTGCCCATGGTTGTACTTTGCCGAAATGTTTATCCCCAAATGTCACACCGACGTTATCAATAAGAGTGACTGAGAGTGTGGTTTGTCCTGAACCACTGAATGCAGATCCAACTTTACCTATGGTCCCAACGTTAGTGACAAATGCCCAGTGGACCAAGGAATAACGTTTCTCCTGAATAAGGCCGTGTAGGATAGTAGTGTATAAAGTTGGAAAGTCAAGTGTTTTGACATAATTGATTTTAGTTCTTCTCTGAGAATGCAATATTCAAGCACATTCTCTGAGTTTATGAGAAGCCACATGGTAAAAATTCCACTTGTCTCAAATACTTTCTTTGAATGCAAAGAATGAAAATCCTTCCTTGCATGTACTAAGGATTATGGTAATTCCTTAGACAGGTATTTGGTGGTACATTTGCTGGGCCCGGTAATATAGTTCATGTACGGATAAGTTTCTCAGAAATGTTAAAAAAGTAGATTTACATCCTATTTGAAATATAAAATTAGTTCACACCAAGACCACACGCACACTATATCAATAAAATCAAAATGATTTAAAAGCAACTAGAACAGACTTGTGGTGTTAACACAACAGACATATGGAATAACTAATACGAGAATAAGTAACATAGTCGTTGAGAATTGAATACGAGACAAACTTAATGGTCAAATTGCAAGTACAAAGTTCAAAATATTAACAAACCACACTAAAGTTACCTCATACTGACTGCCGGGTAAGGTACATGTACATGCTACATGCACAAACAGCTGAAAAATTAGTTTTAATGATAAGATCTTTGACCATTCCCGAAATTGGACTTAATACTGCGAGTACGTCGACTTTGACATTTACCAGACAGACTGCATGCAACCTTACATGACGATACATGTAGGAACAGGCGAATAATGAGTTAAAATGACAATACTGCTGGCCAGTTGAAATAAATGATTAAATTCAGTGTGTACTAGTGTGTGTTGAGTGCCTAATGGAATGCAATAATTGTAACACATAAAAGGTACTCAAAAGTTACCTACTATATTATATAGATTATGTGATACTTCTACCCTCCAACGAAGGCTGTTCAAAGTACAGAAGGCTATGCTGTGTATACTGAACAACAAAAGTTCCTGTGACATTGTATAAGATTTAATGCAAAGTTATATTTTCTACCAAATCTGAAACAATTTCGGTTGCAACAGATAACATACACCTGTAAGTGTTCAAATGGTTTAATTTGCCATACTGACTTTAGAAAATGCGTGATTTCATAAAAAAAACACATGAACATGCCAAAATGTCAATTTGTAAATAGCGTGCGTATCCACCTCTGGTTGCGATACATGCAAAACATCTTCGCCTCATGGAATGGACCAGAGGATGACATTCACGTTGTTTTGTTGAAGAGAATCCTGAACAAGTCGAGCAAGATGAGGCCGGGCGTTGTCATGTTGAAAGGTAATGCCTGGGCCATGATGACGCAAAAAACGGTAGAACAACTGGGCCCATGATCTCGTCGCGGTAGCGCTGTCCATTTAGATTTCCCTCTACCACTATCAAACGGGTCCTCTGTCTTGCTGTAATACCACCCCATGCCATAACGCTGCCGACCCCGAACCGATCTTCCTCCATAACACAATGATTGACGTAACGTTCACCTCGACGTCGGTACACTTGAATCCGTCCATCGCTGTGGCTGAGGTGATAACGAGACTCGAATGGAACTTGTCCCCACTGCATGGCCGTCCAATGTAGACGCTGTCTGCACCATTGTAGACGTGCTTGACGGTGGTTTTCTGTCAAAATGGGACGTCTGGCGGGTCTTCTGGTGACAATCCCTGCACATCTGAGGCGACGATGGACGGTTTGTGAAGGTATTCGTCGAAGGCCAGGGATGCTTCTTGCAATCACTGTTGCTGGCTGGAATCGATTTCGTAGGTGTGTTGTTCGAATCCAGTTGTCTTGTCGATTATTGGATACGCGTGGCCTGCCACGCCAAGGATGGTCTGTCTGCATTCGTCTGTTGTCAACGTTGCCATAAACACCAAATGGTGATTCTGTGGACGTTAAATTGTCTTGCACATTGACTCGATCCTGCTTCAAGCATACCAATGGCTCGCAGACGCTCATTTTCGGACAGACGTGCCATTTCGTAATGTTGAATAATTGCGTAATTGTGTTGTTATTATATGGTTGTGTGGAATCCCGTTAACGCACATGTTTTTATACCCATACTCGGGTAGTGAAATGCATGGGGTTTGCATAAAAGTCAACTTTTGCATAGAATGCATACTTTTCTGTAGCAGTAGCAGTTTTTGTGACTTAATTCCATACATGTACTACAATATTGAAAACCAAACTTTATTTGAAAAATACACTTAATATTGGTGTCACAGGAACTTTTGCTGTTTTGTATATTTCGGAGCATATATCATCATGTGAAGGTATGTATTCTTTGATAGTAATCCGTCAGATACTTTGCACGTGACATTGGTGTTCTTCAGGTGTGTATCATATGCCTCCTTCTCTTTACTCTTTTATAAACGAACTAGAAACTGCACAACAGACATGTTTCTTATATATGTATATATTTGATGACTTAGTGTAATAAAAACTGCAGCAATTTTTCGCAGATACCCTCATTGGTGTGTAAGTGAGTAATGTATCATGTCCCATTCAACAATATTCTAGTTGCACATTCGGCGGTGCACACCACGACCTCAACACATATCTAGGAACGAATTGCCACTTTGTTTGTTGTCTGTCCCAACAGGAATGTAAAGCAATCATATTAGTGTGTATTCCATCACACTTCAGTTCTTTTCGGCAAACACAAACATACCAAAACTGATAGAGCTGTAGTTTAGTGAGTGAGGCCAGGACAGTTGAGTCGGGTCCGATGTCTTGTATTGGACTGATGGAGGTTGCGGCTGCCCTGTAGGGTTGTAGCCGTCACATGTAGTGAACCACCACCCTGACTGGTGGACGTTTGCACAGTTCGTATTGTTGTCGTTGTCGTTGTCAACATCATAAGTGGAAAATCTAGCTCCTAGAAACGCAGACATCCCATCAATCCCTGGATTTTTGTTGCCACCGGGTGATGCAGAGGACGAAAACGTGAAGTTATAACCATAATTCTCACTGCTCACCTGAAATCAGGATCAGTATTGATTAATGTTTTGCGCCGCACTCAGCATGACAAGACAATCCAGTGATTGACACCATGAGCATCGATCTACGTAATTGGGATACTATGAAATGCTTCAACCAAGTCAGCGAGTCTGACCATCCGATCCCGTTAGTCGCCTCTTACGACATGCATAGCAAGCACGGGTTGCTGAAGATCTATTCTGCGTCGAATCTTCACGGGTATCTGACGACTAGCAATAGAGTGCACTTAATATGGATGTTCCCTGGACTACCAAGGGTATGTTAAAGATATACGTCGTCAGGCGTCATCGTATGTGTATTCAAGTAAATTCCCGTGTGATCAGTTTCTGTCTCAAGCTGTATTACTTGAGCAGCTCCGGCAATATAAACTTTAGCCCTACTGACCTATGCAGCCACCAACAGCACAAGCGTCTTGCTTTGTCTGCCTTTTCAAGCTTCTTATTATGTAAGTCAACGTTTCTTCTGTTAAGCTGAGTTTGCTAAAGTAGTTGGTCAGATACATTTGAAGCCATTCCGTTGTGTTCCATATTTATCTCCAACTACCGGATGGTTAGTGTTAGTGTTTCCTGGAAGCCAGTGTTGTGCTCAGGATTACTATAATAAGGTTCGTTTGTGTTTGGTTCATATTTATGTACCTTGTAGGTGTGTCTGTGTATTTATTTTTTATAAATTAGATGCATTAACTATATCTGGAGTAATGCTGGAACATTTTCAATTTCATGGGTATCAAACCTGCTGTGTTGAAAATCTCTTAATTTGAAGATTATCGTCAAAGCCGTATCTGTTTAGAACCCTGCTTTAAATACCTTAAAACCAGTGTAGAAATGCCACCTCCTCACGAGTATCCCATCTTCTTTAAATAATATAAAAACCTGCATGCTGTGTGGGCGATTGTTAGTCACATGATATATCATATCCAGTCCTGTCCAAAAGTTGCCTGAAACATAAACAAGACAAGTATAACTTCATGAACGGGGAATGTCATTTGATCACAACTATGTGAACACAAGTCAACTGAAATAGCTGACAGTATCGCCTATGTATTGCCACTTTAGAGGATAAGATACATATTGTTTTATATATAAGGACAGGAGGGTGAGATTTCTTTTTTTATCCAATACCATTCCCAAAAATTAATAATGGCAACATGTTTCTAAACCTAGTTTAGGTCTGAAATGATCTTCAAATTACATGTCATAGTTTTGCTATATGATGATGTCATTTTGAAACATAATTTTGAATCTCAGATTCCCCTGATTAAAGAGTTTGAATATTTGATATTTAATTCTTAAGAATTGCACAAATTGTTCTCAAGTAGTTATAAAATATAATATAATATAAAAATAGTTATATAAATTGGAATCATTTACACATCGTTCTAATGCTTAAATTAATCAACCATTCAGTGATAAGTTAAGCCATATCTCCTTCGTAGATATCACTTGATCACATACGAGGTATGCTTCATGCTGAAGCCTGTGTAATGCACGTTACGGACTAGTAATACAGTATTTACCAGTTTCACTGAAGTTTCCGAATCCATTTTTGTAGTCTTCCCATGGACGGGTGAAGTTAACGTAGTTACTGTCAGAACGTCGCTTAAAGAACTGTGTTTGACCTTGTGGCATCCTACAAACAACTTTAAAGGCCCGTTGAGAATTGTTAGGATGGATGTGAAACACTTGAGACTCTGTAAAGTCTCTGTAATGATCCGTTGATGAACCCTCAGAGCAATCTGTATTGAAGGAATAAGAATTGACTAGGACTAAATAATAAACATTCCTGAAAAACCATGATTATGCATTTGGGCGAAACATGCTTGACAACTGCCAACAGACTTGATAAAAACATACATCGGCACATAGCCATGGTTTGTTCGGTTCTGATCTTCAACTTTGCGCCAGTGTTTTCTTCAGCTGACTCGCCACTGTACGTGTACATTTGTCAATCTAACATTCATACGCACAATAACACCAAACCATTATTCCCGGTAAATAATTAACGTTTGTACCGTCGACTAATAACAACAAAACAAATTCTCTTGACCTTCAGCTTTGAGTTATTGTCAATCCAAATAAGACACAAATGCTAACACCACAAAAATGGATAAAATACCTTGCATTAGTCGTTCACACCAAGCACCAATATAACCACCATAGCATCTGCAGCCATAGCTGTCATTCAGAAAGACTCCGTGGTAATGGCAACTTGAATGGTACCCCTTGTGCATAAAAAATGTCATTTACAGAAAAAGGAATCTTAGAATACTTGTTAACACTCAGTTTGTGAATGGGTTGCAAAGAAAATAGTTACAATATTTTGTTGCTTAATTCACTGATTAACTGAAATAATTTGGCATGTCATGTCATGTTACTTAATCGCAAGTGTAATCGAATGGATATCGAGGTACTTACATTAAAATGTCTGTACTGGCCGGCGCATCCTGTACTCAACAGTCTCCTCTCAAGGTTGTGATAGCATGTTACATTGTTCCCGTCACCTGTAATGCTAATCGACTTGCATCTCTTATCCCTGGCGCACATGACTCCACATAGAAGAACGCTGATACCGGTAATGGTGTGGTATATTTCATGTGCTTCTGTTGGGTCGTAACAAGATTCAACACGGGAGAATTTCACGTGTGGACGACAGACCGTCAAGAATGTAAATATTGGAATAATCCAAACGTATATTATTTCTGACATTTTGACCAACCTCAGTACATGAAACTTCTGTTATTTGTCCTCGAATTCCACTCGCACTAAAATCCAAATGAGAGTTCTGCGAAATAACAGCTGCATGTCACTTGGCTGATTTCATTCAAGACACTATCTCACGATCTTGCAAAAATAAAAGCGACAAACATTATCCATAATTATTTAAAATATCTGCGAAAAGCAGAGTCGATTGTATGCTTCCGACGACGTGTATCATGAACATGTGTTTCTGAATCACTATCAAATAGTGATGAAAGCATGTTTTCGCGGGAAGGCGAGCGTATCATGCCCCACCGGTAGCACCCGTATCCAACATCGTTGTATCTGTTGTAGCTACAGTGTTTTGGCGCTATCTATTATTGATTGCTGATGGATATCAAGAAGGTTACATATCAGTACTTTTAACTGATTCTGTGTTGGCGTAGTCATTGATTGTCAGAGAAGATTACAAACTTTGATTCTGGCATCAATATTTATTTACTAATTTGACGACAACTGGGGAATACTGGAGATTTATTTGCCACATTGCAAGGGAGGGGTTAAAAATATCAAAATCCTCTCTCAGTCAAGATTACTGCCTACAACAAACTACAATCGGTCAATAGGCTACTCAATATTTACTTATTTTACGACAATCGGGGAATACTGGAGATCTGTTGGCCACATTGCAAGGGGGGGGTTAAAAATATCAAAATCCTCTCTCAATCAATTTTACTGCCTACAACAAACTACAATCGGTCTTCATTGGGGGGCATATTCTGAAATAGGCTACTTAATATTTCTATATACATGTACTTACAGACGAACTTAACAGAAAGGCACAATTCTGAGGCCCATGTATCCAATGCTTCTTGTAGGAGCCAACTGATGAGGATGGGGTAGTAACATGTGTGATCTGGCCAGTTGCAATTGTGCCCCAGCGGCAACACTCGTCGCTCATGATTCCAATTACTGATCTTCCTGGCCCAGACCCCATGGACCCTAGCATGGTGATCTACCTTCAGCTGCTGGCGATCTATAGCCTGTTTTTATCTTGTATCGTTATGTGTAGTGCTATTCTCTTTTATAATTCCGTACTAGTTTTATATCTTTTTCTGTGATGAATCTAGTAATTTAACTGTCCTTCGTTGGCAAGTTTTTATACAAGTTTCAATGTATGTATTATGTTTAACTATTGATAGTCATGATATGGCTGAAATATTGCCGATGTGACTTAAAATTTAACTCACTCACTCCTGGCCAAGACTCGAATATATAAAAGACACATGATATAAAATTATCGTGGATTTTCCCTTTGATCTCTTATTTTAACAGAATATTCTCACAGGCGGTTTTACTAGAGAAAAACAGAACCGTCTTTGAAACTAAAACCCAATCTCATGCCTTGAGGTTTTACCATTTTTATTGTTAAACCCCTTTAAGAGTAAATTACGTAAGACACATCTTGATACCACTGCACTCACCAATGTCGTTCTTCATTTGACTGTGACGGAACTTGATTCTTACACACATATACTGTATCACAACCTGCGAGAAGCTGCTAATTATACAAGCAGCACTGATCTTGGGTTTCCTTTCAATCATCATTTAAATAAACATTTAAGGCATTAGAGATTTATTGTACAGTTTTGAATGGTTTGTTTTGCATTATAGATCTTTGAATGCATGATATGAATACAATAACAGTTGAAATTGCTGACTCACAGTCTAGAATAAACAGTTGAAGCTTTGATGAAAATAAATCATATGTTTTCCTTTTACAAACTTTAAATTCAACATTTCATCAATCTGCATAAATAAACTTTTTGTGAAGAAGTAGATTTCAAACACAAAACCATTATAGTCTGAAATGTTTCCAGAGGATTACTGAGCTATACATGTACAACTACATGCATATGTGTACACAAAGATTAGTGTAATTAACCCTTTCCTGAACATGATTCCTGATTTGCAGGTTTTCTTAAGTATTGGATTTTCGGAAGAAATTTGGAGCAGCAACATTACATTCACAAAGCACGAAAATAATTCAAAGTTGTCAGGGACGTTAATATATAGTTGATATTATCTATTTTAGTAGGTTAATATTTATAATGACCAATGAAAATCCAGGGTAACATAGATCTTCAGCAATCCGGTGATTGACATCATGAGCATCGATCCACGCCTTTGGGAAACAATGACATGCATGAACCAAGTCAGCGAGCCTGACCATCTCTTACGACAAGCATAGTCGCCTTTTACGGCAAGCATGGGTTGCTGAAGACCTATTCTTTCCCGGAACTTCACGGGTCCCATCGTTATGTGATCGAATTATCGAACATGTTACATTATAGTTGTAGCTTCTCCATACCAAACCATCCGAATCACCTTCCACTCACAACAGGGCTGCATACGTATGTAAACTATTTCCATTGATATTTGTATGGAATGGGGCAACATCAGACTGATTCATTGACCAGATTACATCTCAAACAAATTTTATTAGATATAATTTACTTAGATATGTTCAAGTGAGTGACGGCAATTTCTTTACACAAGCGTTGATGATAGTATTTATCTTATTACTACATGAAAGGCAGTAGATAATAAAAAAGGGTTGCTTGGTAAGCAGGATATAGACAACATGTGATTGGCCTTGAAGGCAAAAGATGTAAACATAAGGACAAAAGTTCATAATCAGCCTACAAAGAGATTAGAAACACCTGCAAGGAAACTTGTAGGCCAAGGAGAACGGTTTACTGCAGGCAAAAGCAGAATTCAAAACGATGTTGGACCACGTTTAAAAATTAACCACTGCTGAATATATTTTCGGAATCTTTTCCAATCAACTAACAACGTTGATTGTGTTACCGGACGTGACTACCGTCAACGCAACATAGTATGAACCAGGAGACACGGAATTTAAGACAATTAACTTGGGTATACTCGACTCTCCTATCACAAGAGTGTAAAAACATTAGATAGCATTAAAGACCAAAATAGCTGACGGATATCATAACGTAATTACAGAATCTTTACAAATACTTTACCATAAAATACCTCTATATAAGCTGGGAGCAAGAAATAATAGTAGAGATAAACCTTTACTCAACATATGTACTGTCGTTTTACTTAGATTATCAACAAAAGATGAATCATTTTGGTTAGAAGATTTCTCTAACACTGACGAAACACAATCGCGCTTCAGACAGGGATATCAAACCTTGGACAATATTTTAATTCTAAATTCTCTAATTCAGCGAAACCTACTGCCAATCACGGAAAAACACTATAAATATTGCAAGAAATAAAAAAGATTAATGGGTGTACGTCAGGCAGGTCTCCTGGTTCAAGATTCATTATTTCAATGCCTCTCTGGTTGTTGGCTATCACAGTTGTTGGTTTGGTAGAAAAGGCAGCCATTCTATGTGGTGGCCGTACTTCAGTTGATGTAGCTGTGTCATCATTCCTGTAGAGGTTGAAGCTTGGAAATAGGTAACTCTCATTAGCTTCTGTTGGTCTGATTCTTGTTTCTGACAAGAGAAAGATACCTGTTGACTTGAAGTTTCTATCATGCAAATAATCTGGGTAATGACAGTGAAATGACCTTGCGTTGTGGTAGGCGATGACACATCCATCTGACAGGGGGTATATTGGTGTGCTTGAAAGAGTGTATAACGCAGAGGTCCTAAGCCTTTCCATTTCTTGCTTGACATCTTCATTAACTGACATCATTGTTTTGTTGAGGTTACGAATATGCAGACCTTCTAAAGGATGTCACGCTGCTCAATCCAACAAAGTGTGCATGTTGAAGGAATGTCAGATGGATTGTCACAGTAATAGAGTAGTTGTAACTGTTGGAACACAGTTTGAACACGATTAGCATTTGGAAGACTATCATACAGGAATATTGTCTATCGTGTTGAGCTGATACAACATAATGACCAGGACCCGGTTGTATCAAACTTTAATGATGCATTAACGTGCCATTTAACCTTCATTAACTTATGTATCAGTAAATCCAGTTGAACTAACGTTCTAATGACGTCGTGGTGTCATTAGCGTGTCATTAACTTAATGAAGGTTGGTTGGTTGGTTGGTTGTTTAACGCCGCACTCAGCAATATTCCAGCTATATGACGGCGGTCTGTAAATAATCGAGTCTGGACCAGACAATCCAGTGATTGACATCATGAGCATCGATCCATGCAATTGGGATCGATGACATGCATCAACCAAGTCAGCGCGTGCCTGACCACCCGATCCCGTTAGTCGCCTTTTACGACAAGCATAGTCGCCTTTTATGGCAAGCATGGGTTGCTGAAGACCTATTCTACCCCGGATCTTCACGGGTCTCTACCCAAATGTAATGCATCAAACAGTGCAAAAGAAGCAATGGTGAGGTGAGGTGAAATGGGGTTTAACGTCGCGTCCAAGATTATTGCACTTTTTAGCGACGTGCATGCACGTGTATGTGTGTTTGTGTGGCTGCTTGTACTAGTCCGGACTGATGCCGATTTATAGAGCTAGCTCACTGAGATACCATGCCGCAGTTTAACATGAATACCCCACTCAGCAACAGTATACTGACTCCGAGCCGACCAGTCTTTGTTTTAGCCCCTTAATGCCGAGCGCCAGACAGGGTAACAACAAGTACCATCTTTTAACGTCTTTTGGTATGACGCTGTCGGGGATCGAACCCCGGACCTTCCGGTCTCCAGGCGGACGCTCTACCACTAGACCACGGAGGCGGTCGAAACAGAAATAATGATATAACTTGACATACATGTACTTTGAACATGAAAACATTAAAAAGTTATCTTTGGCAGTCATATTAAAGAAAATTTAAGCCAAGATCAACCCATTTAGTTGCTTCTGATACTCAGAATCTTTGCTCCTTGATGGTGGATGAAGCTGTTGAAGTGTTAGAAGCACTGGCCATTTGTTCCTGATCCTTCGAGTCCTGGACACATCTAGCTTTAGTAGATGAATCATCAAACTCTGTGTCATCAGTTAGACAGGATAGTTGAGAATTGGCTATCTCCTGTCGTAAGAATGAGATGGTCTGGTCTTTTGCATCAAGGCTTTGAGCGACTCGACTGATGGCAGGTTTCAGTTCAGCAATCTGACATCTCAGAACATTGTCTCCTCTGGCTAAGCCGAAAACGCAATATTGGGTATCCTACTCTGATATTATAAGAGTAAATTTGTCCAAATTTTGCAAATGACTTTCAACTGGTGACATCGCTTGGTAAGAAGTACTTCTAGAGATGTACTGGAACATGTGTCAGAAAATTATAGTGGAATCAGGCACATGTACCTAGAACGTATACGGGATTAAAGGTTTCCGCAAGAACAATTTGGTTTTGTCTGGAAATATGACGTTTGATTTGCTGGTCCATATTCACCCAATACCAATTATTGATACATCATTGGAGAGGCACTTATATATGGCTTACATTAGTATATCACCCTTGATGATCAGTGGATCACTAGTGAGATGACAACTCCAAAGTTAATCATAAATATACTAGTCTATACAAAGTTAAAAAAGGTGACCGTCAAAAAGACGCTTGGGTTCAAAAGGGTATCTGGAGAGAATGTATTCTTGTTTTCAAGACCTGCACTTCTGAAATTTAGCCTCATATGATTGTGGCCTAGCCATTCAATTAAATAATGTATAACCATCTCGGGAATATTTTCATTGCAGTCATTGCAAAATGGAGAGATCTTATTTACAATGATGCTGCGATAATCATCTAAACAATGACCATATCTTGTGGTTAACGATTTTGTTATAATAGATCCAAAATATTTGGGTATGTGTCTGAATTCGGACAATGTTATTTCAGGATGTTAAAAACACATTTTGCATGTGTATCTGCAACTTCATTTCTCTGCAAATAGAGAGATGTATTAAATAAGCCTGAAATAGAAAATCATAATCCAATACACCGGGATTGGACATGGAAGAAAATGTGGATGACGTTTGCATAATGTTCAAACAGAGAATCCTGAAAACCGGCTTTTTTTATTTTTGGACTCTTTCTTCTGCTGACTAATGAATTATGATCACAACATAGTCCAGGTTTCTGAAGACGCCATAGAGAAGTATCTGTAGGAGCCGAGGAATCAATTCTATGCCGTCAAGGGCGTTTCTGAACACTGAGACCAATCAGAAATGACATATCATCACACACAATCATCAGCAACATTTAACATTTGAATTGCTTCATCTTGAGATAAATTTCGAGAGACGTTTCATCAATTGGATTCCGAGAGATGTCAGAGCTGAAACTGGCGTTGTTACATAGTTACAAAGTCTTCAAATGAATGCTGCCAAGTTTCCATATATGAAATTTTGATGCAGACATAAAAGCTGGCAACCGTAATCCACAACACTTTGGGGGTCAAAGTGGACTGTTTCCTTGGTGTTTTATTTCAAATGGTAACCAGGATATGTCGATAATATGTCTAGTAATGTTAGTTGCTCACAGAGAGAAGAAAGTTTGCATTTTAAAATTTCCATTTTGGAATATGCTGATTAGATGAATTTTAGTGAATACTGGGAAGTGATCCCTGCCTGAAGCATCGTCTTGGAACACGTCCCAGTTACATTTAATGTTAATGAGGAGGATATCATCGAAATGAGTTTAAGTGAGAACACACCCATAGCCATTAATATCATATAATCGTTCATATGAGACTTTCCAGTGTTGTATGCATTGATCACTATGATTGAATAAGTTTCGTCAAAGTAAACCTTACAAGAGATGTACAGTAAAGCTTTATAGAAGAACCCAAGAGATATGAGTGATTAATGTTTTAATGTCCGAGCTTTTCCGGGATCACTCGTAATGAGTGGGTTATTCTATTTATTACCCATAATATAATTAAAGACGTGTCAAGGGAAAACTACCTGTCGCAGATCAGGAATTAGCTGTTGCGTATCAATCGGCGTGTGAAAAAACGCCGTCCACTCACTCCAATCGCATTTCTCACTAAAAGTGTTGTTACGTGTGAAAAATATAGTTCTGTGAAAAAAAACTGTAAAGATCACATTTTAGCAGTTAAATTTCTGTTTGATTTACACAGCATACACTATCAAGCATTGATAAAGAAGACAAATTTCCAAAAAGTTTCATCAGGTTTTTTAATCAAGTCTTGTTTAGACACGATCTCGTCACTGACAGACAGCGGCCGCCGTGCATCGGCAGAGACATGCATTTCACACATTGTGAAGAGAAAACACGGAAAATCTGTCAATTTATTTCATGTCTTTTGAAAAAAATGCCAAAACCTATAACAACAACATAGACATAATTTACAGAAGTCTTGTTTGTTTAAGAAGAGTTACCAAAAGTAGGTAAACTATGAACAAGTATGATTGCCGCCACAGTGTCGGAATGAATGGATCTTTGTATTGCCTTTCGGAAAGTCTAAAAGTTGTTGCAAAATGAGTTGAAAGTGTAAGAAGTCTTATTTTTCGTTCAACTTAGTTCATGTCAACTTGTCATGTTTAGCCTATTCCTTGTGTTTTATTTTTTATTGGCAGTTATCGATGTCATCATCATTAACAAAGGCAAACCTGTCTGTACTAAGTCTGGTTTTCAGATTCGGGTGGTCGAAAAATTCATCAAACAGCAAGTCCTCTAATGTAAACGCAAACCAGGTCTTGGTGGTGAATCTTGGCGCACTAGAAACAGTTTCTGGCAACACTCGCAATCTGAATCTTGGATCTTCAATCTGGCCATATGCAGTTTTTACAACAAAGACATTACATGTGTTCAGAGGTTGAATCATACGAATAACTCTTCATGTCAGTAAGATCTCCATCCGCTTTAACGAGGTCATTTATTTGACCGGTGTCAAATCATGTTTGTTTACAAACGCAGACGTAGATCTAGTTTTGGTTTTTAATGTAAAACGAAAATCGTGTGAAATAAATGACAAAAATATGATGTGAAATCATGTTGTTGATATGAAACTATGTTTCACTCAGTGAGATTGTAGCTGAATGAATGAATGAATGAATGGGATGAGAAAAAATAGTTCCGTTGTCCAATGAAAATTGACCTTTGTTAAACTGACCAATGAGCTTCGAGAATCACTAATTGCACAATGTTCAAATATCAAAAAGTTATAACACTGCATATTTGAGCCCATATGGGTAATAAATGGGATTAAGTCATTTATAAAGCATATAATAAAGCATCGTGAAGGAAACAATATTTCAAAGTCAGCATTAGAAGCCACACACACAGTGTTCGGTAGATTAATAGGTTCGACAAGGCATCATCAGACAATGGCACCGATGACACCGCAGAATTTTAGCTCGGTAACCTTACCCATATTCGTCCATATCACTATGAGTGAGTGAGTGAGTGAGTAAGTTAGGTTTAACGCCGCTTTTAACAGTATTCCAGTTATATCGCGGCGTATCAGCTGAATGTGTGAGGAAAGCCCGAAGTGATGCAGACCTCAGTCGTTTACCACTTCGGTGAACATATCACTATGAACCTGTGGTTAGTCAAAACAGTCTTTGACAGCAGCGAGTAGAGCGCGGAAGATCTATCGAGTGAAGAGGATCAATGAGATGTTCACACGGAAAGACAGGGAACACAAACTGGTATTAAACGTGGCTGGCATTTAGCTCACTTATGCCTTCTCCTAGGACGTCTTGAGATTTATTGGAGAGAGACATAAACGGAATGAAACTGATATAGATAATTTATTTTACAACAAATAAATGAAATATATCTGTCAATATTACACTAAATAAATACCTACCACTTTCACTATTTTTCTATCTTGAAACAGCTTTTTGTCACACAATAACACAGAGCGTAACTGAAAAAAAAACTTACTCCCTCCCTATCGAGTGTTACCTGGAATCAGATCAGCAATGTGGGGGCCACAACTGGTGCCCATGGTTGTACTTTGCCGAAATGTTTATCCCCAAATGTCACACCGACGTTATCAATAAGAGTGACTGAGAGTGTGGTTTGTCCTGCAGATCCAACTTTACCTATGGTCCCAACGTTAGTGACAAATGCCCAGTGGACCAAGGAATAACGTTTCTCCTGAATAAGTTTACCGTGTAGGATAGTAGTGTATAAAGTTGGAAAGTCAAGTGTTTTGACATAATTGATTTTAGTTCTTCTCTGAGAATGCAATATTCAAGCACATTCTCTGAGTTTATGAGAAGCCACATGGTATAAATTCCACTTGTCTCAAATACTTTCTTTGAATGCAAAGAATGAAAATCCTTCCTTGCATGTACTAAGGTTATGGTAATTCCTTAGACAGGTATTTGGTGGTACATTTGCTGGGCCCGGTAATATAGTTCATGTACGGATTAGTTTCTCAGAAATGTTAAAAAAGTAGATTTACATCCTATTTGAAATATAAAATTAGTTCACACCAAGACCACACGCACACTATATCAATAAAACTAAAATGATTTAAAAGCAACTAGAACAGACTTGTGGTGTAAACACAACAGACATATGGAATAACTAATACGAGAATAAGTAACATAGTCGTTGAGAATTGAATACGAGACAAACTTAATGGTCAAATTGCAAGTACAAAGTTCAAAATATTAACAAACCACACTAAAGTTACCACATACTGACTGCCGGGTAAGGTACATGTACATGCTACATGCATAAACAGCTGAAAAATTAGTTCTAATGATAAGATCTTTGACCATTGGACTTAATGACTTTGAAATTGGACTTAATACTGCGAGTACGTCGACTTTGACATTTACCAGACAGACTGCATGCAACCTTACGTGACGATACATGTAGGAACAGGCGAATAATGAGTTAAAATGACAATACTGCTGGCCAGTTGAAATAAATGATTAAATTCAGTGTGTACTAGTGTGTGTTGAGTGTCTAATGGAATGCAATAATTGTAACATACAAAAGGTACTCAAAAGTTACCTACTATATTATATAGAGTATGTGATACTTCTACCCTCCAACGAAGGCTGTTCAAAGTACAGAAGGCTATGCTGTGTATACTGAACAACAAAAGTTCCTGTGACATTGTATAAGATTTAATACAAAGTTATATTTTTTACCAAATCTGAAACAATTTCGGTTTGCAACAGATAACAGACTCCTGTAAGTGTTCAAATGGTTTAATTTGCCATACTGACTTCAGAAAATGCGTGATTTCATAAAAAAACCATGAACATCCCAAAATGTCAATTTATAAATAGCGTGTGTATCCACCTCTGGTTGCGATACATGCAACACATCTTCGTCTCATGGAATGGACCAGAGGATGCCATTCACGTTGTTTTGTTGAAGAGAATCCTGAACAAGTCGAGCAATATGAGGCCGGGCGTTGTCATGTTGAAAGGTAATGCCTGGGCCTTGATGACGCAAACAAGGTAGAACAACTGGGCCCATGATCTCGTCGCGGTAGCGCTGTCCATTGAGATTTCCCTCTACCACTATCAAACGGGTCCTCTGTCTTGCTGTAATACCACCCCATGCCATAACGCTGCCGACCCCGATGATTGACGTTACGTTCACCTCGACGTCGGTACACTTGAATCCGTCCATCGCTGTGGCTGAGGTGATAACGAGACTCGAATGGAACTTGTCCCCACTGCAAGGCCGTCCAATGTAGACGCTGTCTGCACCATTGTAGACGTGCTTGACGGTGGTTTTCTGTCAAAATGGGACGTCTGGCGGGTCTTCTGGTGACAATCCCTGCACATCTGAGGCGACGACGGACGGTTTGTGAAGATATTCGTCGAAGGCCAGGCATGCTTCTTGCAATCACTGTTGCTGGCTGGAATCGATTTCGTAGGTGTGTTGTTCGAATCCAGTTGTCTTGTCGATTATTGGATACGCGTGGCCTGCCACGCCAAGGATGGTCTGTCTGCATTCGTCTGTTGTCAACGTTGCCATAAATACCAAATGGTGATTCTGTGGACGTTAAACTGTTTGCACGTTGACTCGATCCTGCTTCAAGCATACCAATGGCTCGCAGACGCTCATTTTCGGACAGACGTGCCATTTCGTAATGTTGAACAATTGCGTAATTGTGTTGTCATTATATGGTTGTGTGGAATCCCGTTAACGCACATGTTTTTATACCAATACTTGGGTAGTGAAATGCATGGGGTTTGCATAAAAGTCAACTTTTGCATAGAATGCATACTTTTCTGTAGCAGTAGCAGTTTTTGTGACTTAATTCCATACATGTACTACAATATTGAAAACCAAACTTTACTTGAAAAATACACTTAATATTGGTGTCACAGGAACTTTTGTTGTTTAGTATATTTCGGGGCATATATCATCATGTGAAGGTATGTATTCTTTGATAGTAATCCGTCAGATACTTTGCACGTGACATTGGTGTTCTTCAGGTGTGTATCATATGCCTCCTTCTCTTTACTCTTTTATAAACGAACTAGAAACTGCACAACAGACATGTTTCTTATATATGTATATATTTGATGACTTAGTGTAATAAAAACTGCAGCAATTTTTCGCAGATACCCTCATTGGTGTGTAAGTGAGTAATGTATCATGTCCCATTCAACAATATTCTAGTTGCACATTCGGCGGTGCACACCACGACCTCAACACATATCTAGGAACGAATTGCCACTTTGTTTGTTGTCTGTCCCAACAGGAATGTAAAGCAATCATATTAGTGTGTATTCCATCACACTTCAGTTCTTTTCGGCAATCACAAACATACCAAAACTGATAGAGCTGTAGTTTAGTGAGTGAGGCCAGGACAGTTGAGTCGGGTCCGATGTCTTGTATTGGACTGATGGAGGTTGCGGCTGCCCTGTAGGGTTGTAGCCGTCACATGTAGTGAACCACCACCCTGACTGGTGGACGTTTGCACAGTTCGTATTGTTGTCGTTGTCGTTGTCAACATCATAAGTGGAAAATCTAGCTCCTAGAAACGCAGACATCCCATCAATCCCTGGATTTTTGTTGCCACCGGGTAAAACAGAGGACGAAAACGTGAAGTTATAACCATAATTCTCACTGCTCACCTGAAATCAGGATCAGTATTGATTAATGTTTTGCGCCGCACTCAGCATGACAAGACGATCCAGTGATTGACACCATGAGCATCGATCTACGTAATTGGGATACTATGAAATGCTTCAACCAAGTCAGCGAGTCTGACCATCCGATCCCGTTAGTCGCCTCTTACGACAAGCATAGCAGTGCTTAGCACGGGTTGCTGAAGATCTATTCTGCGTCGAATCTTCACGGGTATCTGACGACTAACAATAAAGTGCACTTAATATGGATGTTCCCTGGACTACCAAGGGTATGTTAAAGATATACGTCGTCAGGCGTCATCGTATGTGTATTCAAGTAAATTCCCGTGTGATCAGTTTCTGTCTCAAGCTGTATTACTTGAGCAGCTCCGGCAATATAAACTTTAGCCCTACTGACCTATGCAGCCACCAACAGCACAAGCGTCTTGCTTTGTCTGCCTTTTCAAGCTTCTTATTATGTAAGTCAACGTTTCTTCTGTTAAGCTGAGTTTGCTAAAGTAGTTGGTCAGATACATTTGAAGCCATTCCGTTGTGTTCCATATTTATCTCCAACTACCGGATGGTTAGTGTTAGTGTTTCCTGGAAGCCAGTGTTGTGCTCAGGATTACTATAATAAGGTTCGTTTGTGTTTGGTTCATATTTATGTACCTTGTAGGTGTGTCTGTGTATTTATTTTTTATAAATTAGATGCATTAACTATATCTGGAGTAATGCTGGAACATTTTCAATTTCATGGGTATCAAACCTGCTGTGTTCAAAATCTCTTAATTTAAAGATTATCGTCAAAGCCGTATCTGTATAGAACCCTGCTTTAAATACCTTAAAACCAGTGTAGAAATGCCACCTCCTCACAAGTATCCCATCTTCTTTAAATAATATAAAAACCCGCATGCTGTGTGGGCGATTGTTAGTCACATGATATATCATATCCAGTCCTGTCCAAAAGTTGCCTGAAACATAAACAAGACAAGTATAACTTCATGAACGGGGAATGTCATTTGATCACAACTATGTGAACACAAGTCAACTGAAATAGCTGACAGTATCGCCTATGTATTGCCACTTTAGAGGATAAGATACATATTGTTTTATATATAAGGACAGGAGGGTGAGATTTCTTTTTTTATCCAATACAATTCCCAAAAATTAATAATGGCAACATGTTTCTTAACCTAGTTTAGGTCTGAAATGATCTTCAAATTACATGTCATAGTTTTGCTATATCATAATGTCTTTTTGAAACATAATTTTGAATCTCAGATTCCCCTGATTAAAGAGTTTGAATATTTGATATTTAATTCTTAAGAATTGCACAAATTGTTCTCAAGTAGTTATAAAATATAATATAATATAAAAATAGTTATATAAAATGGAATCATTTACACATCGTTCTAATGCTTAAATTAATCAACCATTCAGTTATTAGTTAAGCCATATCTCCTTCGTAGATATCACTTGATCACATACGAGGTATGCTTCATGTTGAAGCCTGGGTAATGCACGTTACGGACTAGTAATACGGTATTTACCAGTTTTCCTGAAGTTTCCAAATCCATTTTTGTAGTCTTCCCATGGACGGGTGAAGTTAACGTAGTCACTGACAAAACGTCGCTTAAAGAGATATGTTTGACCTTGTGGCATAGTACAAACAACCTCAAAGGCCCGTTGAGAATTGTTAGGATGGATGTGAAACACTTCAGACTCTGTAAAGTCTCTGTAATGATCCGTTGATGAACCCTCAGAGCAATCTGTATTGAAGGAATAAGAATTGACTAGGACTAAATAATAAACATTCCCGATATACCATGCTTATGCATTTCAGCGAAACGTGCTTGACAACTGCCAACAGACTTGATAAAAAGATACAACGGCACATAGCCATGGTTTGTCTGGTTATGATCTCCAACTTTGCGCCAGTGTTTTCTTCAACCGACTCGCCACTGTACATTTGTCAATCTAACATTCATACGCACAATAACACCAAAACCATTATTCCCGATCGACTACGAACAACAAAACACATTCTCTTAACCTTCAGCTTTGAGATATTGTCAATCAAAAGAGGAAACAAATGCTAACACCACAAATATGGATATAATACCTTGCATTAGTCGTTCACACCAAGCACCAATATAACCACCATAGCATCTGCAGCCATAGCTGTCATTCAGAAAGACTCCGTGGTAATGACAACTTGAGTGGAAGCCCTGGTAGCATAAAAAATGTCCATGTGCAGAAAAAGGAACCTTAGAATACTTGTTAACACTCAGTTTGTGAATGGGTTGCAAAGAAAATAGTTACAATATTTTGTTACTTAATTCACTGATTAACTGAAATAATTTGGCATGTCATGTCATGTTGCTTAATCGCAAGTGTAATCGAATGGATATCGAGGTACTTACATTGAAATGTCTGTACTGGTTGTCGCATCCTGTACTCAACAGTCTCCTTTCACTGTTGTGATAGCATGTTACATTGTTCCCGTTACGTGTAATGCTTATCGACTTACATCTCGTATCCCTTGCGCACATGACTCCACATAGAAGAACGCTGATAAAGGTACTGGTGTGGTATGTTTCGGGGGTTTCTGTTGGGTCGTAATAAGATTCAACACGGGAGAATTTCATGTGTGGACGACAGACCGTCAAGAATGTAAATAATGGAATAATCCAAACGTATATTATTTCTGACATTTTGACCAATCTCAGTACACGAAACTTCTGTTATTTGTCCTCGAATTCCACTCGCACTATGCTCCAGATGAGAGTTCTGAGAAATAACAGCTGCATGTCACTTGGCTGATTTCATTCAAGACACTATCTCACGATCTTGCAAAAATAAAAGCGACAAACATTATCCATAATTATTTAAAATATCTGCGAAAAGCAGAGTCGATTGTACGCTTCCGACTACGTGCATCATGAACATGTGTTTGTGAATCACTATCAAATAGTGATGAAAGCATGTTTTCGCGAGAAGGTGAGCGTATCATGCCCCACTGGTAGCACCCGTATCCAACATCGTTGTATCTGTTGTAGCTACAGTGTTTTGGCGCTATCTGTCATTGATTGCTGATGGATATCAAGAAGGTTACATATCAGTACTTTTAACTGATTCTGTGTGGGCGTAGTCATTGATTGTCAGAGAAGATTACAAACTTTGAGTCTGGCATCAATATTTACGTATTTTACGACTATCGGGGAATACTGGAGATCTATTTGCCACATTGCAAGGGAGGGGTTAAAAATATCAAAATCCTCTCTCAGTCAAGATTACTGCCTACAACAAACTACAATCGGTCAATAGGCTACTCAATATTTACTTATTTTACGACAATCGGGGAATACTGGAGATCTGTTGGCCACATTGCAAGGGAGGGGTTAAAAATATCAAAATCTTCTCTCAATCAATTTTACTGCCTACAACAAACTACAATCGGTCTTCAGTTGGGGGGCATATTCTGAAATAGGCTACTTAATATTTCTATATACATGTACTTACAGACGAACTTAACAGAAAGGCACAATTCTGAGGCCCATGTATCCCATGCTACTTGTAGGAGCCAACTGATGAGGATGAGGTAGTTACATGTGTGATCTGGCCAGTTTTGCAATTGTGCCCCAGCGGCAACACTCGTCGCTCATGATTCCAACAACTGATCTTCCTGGCCAAGACTCGAATATATAAAAGACACATGATGTAAAATGATCGTGGATTTTGGCCTTTGATCATTTGATCTCTTATTTTAACAGAATATTCTCACAGGCGGTTTTGCTGAGAGAAAAACAGAACCGTCTTTGAAACTAAAACCCAATCTCATGCCTTGAGGTTTTACCATTTTTATGGTTTAACCCCTTTAAGAGTAAATTACGTAAGACACATCTTGATACCATTGCTGTCACCAATGTCGTTCTTCATTTGACTGTGACGGAACTTGATTCTTACACACATATACTGTATCACAACCTGCGAAGCTGCTAATTATACAAGCAGCACTGATCATGGCTTTCCTTTCAATCATCATTTAAATAAACATTTAAGGCATTAGAGATTTATTGTACAGTTTTGAATGGTTTGTTTTGCATTATAGATCGTTGAATGCATGATATGAATACGATAACACGTCAACAGTTGAAATTGCTGACTCACAGTCTAGAATAAACAATTGAAGATTTGATGAAAATAAATCATATGTTTTCCTTCTACAAACTTTAGATTCAACATTTCATCAATCTGCATAAATAAACCTTTTGAAGATGTAGATTTCAAAAACAAAACCATTATAGTCTGAAATGTTTCACTACATGCATATGTGTACACAAAGATTAGTGTAATTTACCCTTTCCTGAACGTGATTCCTGATTTGCAGGTTTTCTTTAGTATTGGATTTTCGGAAGAAATTTGGAGCAGCAACATTACATTCACAAAGCACGAAAATAATTCAAAGTTGTCAGGGACGTTAATATAAATTTTATTAGATATGATTTACTTAGATGTGTTCAAGTGAGTGGCGGCAATTTCTTTACACAAGCGTTGATGATAGTATTACTCTTATTACTACATGAAAGGCAGTAGATAATAAGAAAGGGTTGCTTGGTAAGCAGGATATAGACAACATGTGATTGGCCTTGAAGGCCAAAGATGTAAACATAAGGACAAAAGTTCATAATCAGCCTACAAAGAGATTAGAAACACGTGCAAGGAAACTTGTAGGCCAAGGAGAAAGGTTTACTGCAGGCAAAAGCAGAATTCAAAACGATGTTGGACAACGTTTAAAAATAAACCACTGCTGAATATATTTTCGGAATCTTTTCCAATAAGCTAACAACGTTGATTGTGTTACCGGACTTGACTACCGTCAACGCAACATAGTATGAACCAGGAGACACGGAATTTAAGACAATTAACTTGGGTATACTCGACTCTCCTATCACATTAGTGTAAAAACATTAGATAGCATTAAAGTCCAAAATAGCTGACGGATATCATTACGTAATTACAAGATCTTCACAAATACTTTACCATAAAATACCTCTATATAAGCTGGGAGCAAGAAATAACAGTAGAGATAAACCTTTACTCAACATATGTACTGTCGTTTTACTTAGATTATCAACAAAAGATGAATCATTTTGGTTAGAAGATTTCTCTAACACTGACGAAACACAATCGCGCTTCAGACAGGGATATCAAACCTTGGACAATATTTTAATTCTAAATTCTCTAATTCAGCGAAACCTACTGCCAATCACGGAAAAACACTATAAATATTGCAAGAAATAAAAAAGATTAATGGGTGTACGGAAATCTTCCACCATTAAGATTTGCGTGATGTTATGCTAAATGGATGTACGGAAATTTTTCAATGTGAGTACATCAATTAGGAGATAAATATTTCGTTTTGAAATTTCCGTTCATTCATTCAGCATAACATCACGCAAATCACACAAAACGAAATATTTATCTCCTAATTGACGTACTCACATTTAAAGTGGTTGTCGCATCCTGTACAAAATGGCAGTTTACATTGTTCCCGTCACATTTAATGCTTATAGACTGACAGTTCTTATTCCTTCCTCACATAATTCGACATTGTGGAGCCCTGATACCTGTAATGGTGCGGTAAGTTTCGGGGGTTTGAGTCGGGTCGTAACAAGATTCAATACGGGAGAATTTCATGTGTGAACGACAGCGTGGCATCAAAGCCAATAATAAAAGAATCCAAACGTACATTATTTCAGACATTTTGACTCCTTTACACACACGAAACAATGGTTATCGGAGTTGACGTGCACCACACTAACAAATGTGTGTCTATATACCTTACTGGAAACTACAGCTCACACGTACGAATCACTCGGCTGGTACTAAATCAAATTGCCTTAGATCACAACATCTAACAAACTGGCAACTATGCAAAGGACGGTACTAAAGTACGGAGTTTGTATCTTTAGTTGTCACCGTGATTATGAGGTTGCATGGAAACTTAAACACCATAAATACGTTTGTTGAAATCTGTAAGGGATATTCCACATTTTTGCAAATGATACAACAATCTAAACGTTATGGTGTTTTCTTTACGACAATTGGCCTACATACACGAAACTATGGTTATTCACTCTTCAAGTTCGCGTGAACAATCATGCTAAGTTAAGTATTGGGAACAAACAGTGTTACTCGGATGGCACTATCATGATTCACATGACCTTCCCATGATCTAACAAACGACATTGTGTGGTATGTTTCGCTGAGAGCAGCACATCAGCTACATGTCATAAAGGTCACATTATTGATATTGTGAGTGCATTGTTATAGATTTGTCCGTATCAATATATAAAGCAAATTAAAAAACATCTTTTTTCTCGTTTTCTTTAATATCAATACTTGAATTCAAATACCATATTAGAAATTATGAAACATAATCAGGTTCCCTGGTACAAATCAATGAACATGTCTGATAAGGAGTGTTTTGGAAATGTAATGCAAACATATGTGATTTTTTTATATTCCAAGACCTCATATTCTCCCGATAATTGTTTAAAGGGAATCAACATGTATTTTACGTCAACATGTTTTGACATTCTTCAATTGAGTGACAACAAGCCGCGATATCACCAGTACGTGACTCTCGTTTATTATCACCGTCTAAAATATAAATTAGGGAACGCCATGTTGTATGAAGACTTGGCTCCTATTTTTTTTATTCATGAAGCAGCTACACGCACGACGCTTGCCCTTGGTAATCTCCTCCATCTCGCCTGAAGAGCTACCCAAAGCTAGGCCACGTTGGCCGGTGTTGTGCAATTAGTGTAATGAGACGATATACCTTTATGTCGATTTTAGGCCTGCCAAGCCAAGGTTTCATTGCATACCCACCCACTAAACGGTACTTTGTGCCACAGTCAGTAATTACACTTTTTGATTTGCCAAACATTCGGGCAAAGTGGGATATTGATGTAAATCATGTTAGTCAGAGTGTTTGAAATGTGAACAGATATTCCGTGACAATTAAAGATTTTTTTCAAAGGATAGTAACATAGTGGTCATACACAATAAAATAGGGTTGGACGGGAATATTTCGACATCATGCTAACGCTTAACTCCATCAAACAATAAGTGATAAGTAAATCAATATTCTCAGCTGAATTGCATTAGTGATTGAGAGTTCCCGTATACACACACTCTTTGACTTCTGTGTGCACGTGTTCATGCATTATGTGTAATTTCATTGTGATTAGATGTTGCGTTAAGATACAACGATAACGCAACGATGTGGTAAAAGTACGTATCAATGATAGTTACATTCAAATCAGAAAATGTACAGAGAAAAGTTGTAATTTTTTATGAACATTATTTGTAACCTCGTAACTGTCCTGTTCAGTAATTATATCCAAAGATATTTTCTTGTTCATCCACATGATTCCTATTTGGGGGTTGGTGTCAATTTAAGTCCCTTGTTCAAAATCCTTTTTTTTGTTTCGTATAGTTTCTTTTAAGTCAAGTTTAATGTGGCTGTGATGTTGCTATCCCTGTCTGTGTTGAGGAGCAACACAGACAGGCCTAGTTCGGCCTGGTTCAAAAAAAAAGATGACATATCCCCCCGGCAGCTGTCTGTAAAGTAACCACAAGTAAATGTGCAATTCTGTATGTAATGAATCAACAGTTGAATGTTCTTGAAGAAGCATACACTGTTTACCCACAAAAGATCCACCATGGTCGCATCCATATGAAATGGAAAGT